AGGTGAATGAAAAACAGAGAGAACTGTAGGTAATATTTTACCGTACCCCGATGTTCCTCCGCCCTCACTAATGATCATGTTGGCAGACTTCCTGTCTTTGCGCTCAGGACAGTCCTTGGCCCAATGCCCAGACTTGCCACACACAAAGCAGTCTCCCTTTGCCTTTCCCTTGCTTTTCTTCTTAAAATTGGTTGCAGCCTTGGGTTTGACATCAGGCTTGACTTTCTTGTTGTTGTGGGATGCATGAGGGTTCTTCTTCTGTACCATATTGGCACTAGAACCTCCCTCAACCTTTTTGCCCCGGACGTCCTTTGCCCTCGCCTTCTCCTCAACACCCAAAGAGCCAATGAGATCAGGAACACTGAACTCTTGTCTCTTGTGCTTTAGAGAAGTGGCAAAGTCCGACCAAGAAGGTGGTAGTTTGGCAATAATGCCACCTGCCACAAACTTGTCCGGCAACTCACAGTTGTTGTTCTCAAGTTCCTTAGCCAGCATCTGAATCTCATGAGCTTGTTCAACTACAGAACGGTCATCGACCATCTTGTAGTCATAGAACTGCTCCATAACATACAGCTCACTGCCGGCGTCAGAAACTCCGAACTTGGCCTCAAGTGCATCCCGCATGTCCTTCCCAGAAGGCATGTGCATGTACACGTCCACTATGTTGTCAGCGAGTACACTGATCAATGCTCCACGGAACAGGCAATCCGAAGCCTCGAACTTAGCCTCTTCCTCAGGAGAAAGAGGTGGTTCACTTCGTTTGCCCCGTGAAACATAGAAGCACTGCATCGCTGTCAACCACAATAGTGCACGTGTTTTCCATCTCTTATAGTTTGAACCATCAAAGGCATGTGGTTTCAGTGCAGCAGCAAAGCCAACTACCGAAAATGACCTATCAGGTTTTTGGATTGTTGGAAATTTGGTCATAATTCGGCATATTTTAATCCAAAATAACAAGATAATAAACATGATATTTACAATAGGATTTGATCCAGTGATAGTGGTGAATGTAATCAACATGAGCATGCTTAACGTTGAATAAGCATCAACAATCACATAATGACACAATGTTGACATTGCGATGAACATTAACAGTAAAACTTCTAATTGAAATAATGTAATAAGGTTATACCCCAAGAATGGTCCTCCGCTGGAGTTTGAGGCAGTATTGCCTCCGTTGGTGTTGACGGGAGTCTCCTTCTCCTTGTCTCCAGTGTTCGACATGTTGGTGAAGATGAAGTAGATGTTGACGAACAGTGAGTAGTCGCGCCTTGCGCTCCCCAAAAACATGATCGCCCGCCCGTCTGTGCAAACGTCGCAGCAACGCGTGGTTTCGGAGGCCTACTCTCCCAACGCGTGTGCACACACTCGTCGGGATGGGATTACCGTAGCAACAACAGCTTTGGAAAATGGATGAAAGTGTGTCTTCTTTTTCTCGCGGGAGATCAAATCCATTCCCATTTTATAAGAGGAATGGAAGATGAAGAGTAAGAGTCATGGAATAGGAAGAGGAATGGAGCAACTAATTGTCATCAACTAGCCATGAACCATCCTTCACTACACAACCATCAACCAACAATCAATTAAGAGTAATTGATGTAAGTTACCAATGGAATAGGAAGAGGAATAGAGCAACTAAATGTCATCAACTAGCCATGAACCATCCTCCACTACACAACCATCAACCATCCATCAATTAGGACTAATTGATATAAGTTACCAATTCCTTAATCAAATGGATTAATTCTCAAAACTCTTCATCCCATTGATATCCCATAGAAGAATGAATTCACATGAATTCCTAGCATAATGAGCCTTGGAATTTATTTGATTTAATTGATTTAAATGGATTAATTACCCAATTAAATCTAACAGGACTTCCCCGGGAGGTAGCCGCTGGGACGGCACGCGCCGCCGGCGACGGCGCCGGGGCGGAGGGAGGAGGCGAGGTGGGTGGTGGAGAGCGCGGCCAGGAGGAAGATCATCGCCATGGCGGCCACTGCTCTGGCACTCGCCATCTTAGCTAGTTGTTGCGCTACCTTGTTGTCTTCAGTTTTCTTGATGAGTTTGTGCTTTGATTTGCTTGATGGAATGGGATTAGAGATGCATGAGGTTATATAGCTTTGTTGCTTGCATTAGTTAATCAATTGGTTTTCTGGCACGGCAATCCGTTGCTGTGTGTGTTCAGATGTAGCTACACGTTCACGGACTCGCATTATCTCTCGACGAACTGACGTGCCGTTCCAAACGATTCTCCAATACCTTTTTTTTTTATTATCTGTACGTTGTGAATCTCTTTAATTTCGTGTCTAACATGCATAAAATTGATTGTTAATAATCGTGCTTAATTAAGCTTTAGTTCAACTAACTCGCATGTTCAATTGATTGGTAATAATCGTGCTTAAGATTCACCTCTTTAGGGCAACAACAATGCTTAAAATCTTGGTGAAAATTTAGGACCCATCATACTTATGTTTATGACCACAATGTATATCATAAAATCTTATAGCTCATTTTTATGGCATATTGTGGATGTTCTTAGTGTCTGTCAAGGAGGCACACGAGTGTTATTTTTTTTAGTGTGTGCATTTTTTGTAAAGTATAGTTTTGTGAGTATTGAGAAATACCAAGAAATGACTTATTTGAGCACACAGTACTACAGCTGCCGTAAATCAGTGTACCCATTCCTATAAGAATCCGTAATTTTTTTTGCGATAAAAAAAACCGTTGTATAGCATAAAAACCGTCAAATTCATTATTCTGTCGACCAACCGTCAAGTAAAAACCGCCGAGTCGTAAGGGAATATTCAGTTTTGTTGGCCGCCGAAAGGGAATGACCTCTTTAGCGTTCTTCAGACAAGACCACACAACCTCGAATTCTCCCACGCTCGCGTTGAGCCCAAGCTTCTCCCACACCACCGGCGACCCGCCGACGGCGTTGTTCCGGCACGGCGGCGCGAACCCGTCCTCCTCGCGGCACCCGTTCACGGAGTCGCAATCGTCCACCACCCTGGCGACCACGGACGATCGTCCGCTCGCCGCGCCGGCGACGGCGAAGACGCGGATCCTCCGGTGGCAGCGGCGGCGGCCGCCGCCGAGGCGCAGCCACCCGGAGGACAGCGCGACCACCAGCTCCGTGTTCCGGTGGAAGCGCATGTCGCAGGACGTGGGGACGCCTCCGTCGTCCTCGCCGTGGTCGAACACCTTCAGCGTCAGGATCGCCGGCGTCGTCCTGGCCGATCGACACCGGCGGCGAGCACCTGAACCGCGGGTAGCGCTCGCCGGCGACGCAGCAGTCATGGCTCCCCTTGGGACACCTCGTCTCGTTGCCGTGGAGGTAGACGTAGCCGCTGGCATGGCAGCTGGCCGCTGCATCAGAGACGCCATGGATGGTAGGGGAGGTAGACAGCAAGCTCATGGCCTGCAAGAGAGCAAACAGAAATAGTATAGCCTTGTGTTATCCATGTCTCCTACTACTGATTTCAAAGTTTCTTCTTCTTCGTTTTCTTTTTAACAATGATTCAAAGTTTCTTTGATGGAATTCAAATTCATGAATTCAAGTTCATGTTGAATGGATGGGGTTAATTACATGCATGTGTGGCATATATAGGGAGCTCTATGTGGGATGTTCCAGCAATTCGTATGCTAGTGTTTTGACTGGACATGTAACACAATGTGATTTTTCTTGGTTTGTCGATCCCAAGGTTATTAGTGTTTTGACCAAGAAATTTTATGTGTTTCCATGTGCATGTTAGAAGTTGAATCATTTGATAATGTTAAGACCAGTGTCGTGTTGTGTTGTGTTGTGTTGCTCAATATTAGCTTTGGTACTAGCCAGTGATTCACTGAGCAACGGAGTAGTTAATAGCATTGGTCATTATCTCAAAAAAGTAAACTGAAACTTAATTGAGCTGGTCAAAATTGGCATCCTTGTGATCGCTATGAAAGATTATGTTTGTACCACTGAAAAATCAGGAAGCATATATAGCGCAGTTTCCATGAATCTATGTTCATCTAAAAAATTCAATCCCAAAATCTCAAAGCGCACTGTTATTACTTATTAATACTAGTAGCAGCACTGCAGCAACACTAATACTAACAATGTTATTATCTGAATATTTCAGGTACTGTGGTATATGCAATTGAAAAAGCTGAATCCAAGTGTTTTTCTTATCTGTGACTTTTAGTGGAAAACTGAGATTCTTTCTTTTGTTTTTGTCCCAGCTCATTTACATTTCTCTTGGACTGCTGTCTGTACACATCACATATCCTATATAATTTTATTGTACAGTTCATGTCTTGGAGTTGTCATTTTCTAATAGTTTGGACTGATGGATAAAACTCAAACATTTCTATCATTGGAAGGATTCAAAACATATTTATTGATGTGGATTAGAACACTTGATTGTGTTGTCATAGAGATCGAAGATGCAGTAAAGGAGTATCCTATGGCAAAAGTAAACATTACACATAATGAAATTCATTGCATTAGTGTATCACATATTGAACAAGTGCCTTTATGTGCTAACCTCCTTTGCTAGTTGTAAATTTCAGGGTTTCAACAATTGCATAGACATCAATTAAAAAAGAAAAAAATTGAACAAAATGTCTGGCCTATTTTCTTCTGAAATCTTGTAATTAATCATGATAGCTGTGCCATCACTAAAGTACTGAAATATATAATGAGTCATTTTTCCCACAAAATGCTAGATCTACTAGCACTAAATTATTTTAGTGCAAATAATACTAAAACGGCATCACATTACAGGACTATATACACCTCTTATAACTCTATTTATGCTGTATAGCTCTGTAGACTGACTACTGTTCTACACCTGGATATTGCTATAGAGTTACAGTTATGTAAGGCTGCATGCATTTTGTCTGTCCTGCTTACAGTTTATCTTACATTTTAGAGAGCTTTTGTGTTTTCAATACTAGCTGCATGGATCAACTGAAGATACAGGTCATTTCACAACTCACGAGAGAATACAGGGTCATACTTAACATAGCAACATTCTTTATGAAAGATAGCAGCACAGTACACATTCAACATAAGCATTATGTTGAGTAGAAAATTTAATGTAACAACAGAAACACACACTGTAATGAGCACTTTTGGGGAAATGACAAATGCCAGAGTAACGGCTTATTCGACGACAACTTTTACGGTGCTCTCTACTAGTATACGACAGTATACCCGTTGTAAGTGCAGGGTAACGTATGTATTAATTAATGTGTATATATATATATGTGTGTGTGACGTGGCCATGACGGCATGGCTGGTTCTTCAGACATCAGACCAGGTGACCTTGAACTCGCCGACGCCCTCGTCGAGGCCGAGCGCCTTCCACACCGCCGGCGAGCCGTCGACGACGTCGTTCGGGCACGGCGGCTCGAAGTTGTGCTCGGCGTCGCAGCCGTTCACCGAGTCGCACTCGTCGACGACCCTGGCCAGCGCGGACCGGCCGTTGCCGGCGGCGACGCGGATCATGCGGTTGCACCGGCTGGCGCCGTCGAGCCGGAGCCAGCCGCTGGAGAGCGCCACCACCATGGCGGTGTCCGGGTGGAACCGGCCGTCGCAGGACGACCTCCCGCCGCCGTCGCCGCCGCGGGCGAAGCTGTTCAGCGTCAGCGTCGCCGGCGTTGGCCTAGCCGAGGACACCGGCGGCGAGCACCTGAACTGCGGGTACCGGCGGCCGGTGACGCAGCAGTCGGAGCCGTGCGCCCTGTTGCACTTGCCGGCCTTTCCGTGCAGGAAGCCGCTGATGTGGCAGCCGCCGTCGCCGCCGCCGCCGCCGCCGCCTTGCTTCGGCTTCGGCTCGTGCTTGCCGGTGGCCACGGCGGAGACGCCGCCATTGTCGCCGCCATGGACGACGGCGTGAAGGGACATCAGCTGCAAGAGAGCGAGCACGACCAATACCTTCACGTTAGCCGCCATGGCTGGATCAAAGTGAGCTCTTCGCTGGCTTAATTTTGATCTTGTGAGTGTTGTGGCAAGTGTATTATATAGAAGGACTTGCTCGAGGAGAAGCAGTTAACTGTGGCATTAATTTGGTTTACCTAGCAAGCCATGTAAATTCAGCCAAATTTCATTGGTTTTGTAACCCCAGTAAAAACTTGGGTGGTGAAAATATCACAAGTTTGTTTGCACATGAAGATGGAATATCATATATATCGTGTTACACATAATTAAGCTGGGTTAGGACAACATAGCTAGCGTAATCTGAATCCAAGTGCCGTTTCCGTAATTGTCATAGGTTGATGCATGGATATGGGATCTAGGAATCTAAGTTGGATCGGTTGTCATCTTCTCACCTCTCACGCATTGCTTTTGCTGTTGAGCTGAGCGTTTGTCACATTGGAAATTACTACTACTAGCATTGATCTGTCAGTTTGGCTTGAGATGATAAGAACATTAGGAACTACTGCTACTGGTACGAAAAACATATCCATACTTTCTATATAGTTGATACCCACAAACAATTATTAGAAGCTAAAGCTCAACATGCAAGTATACCACATCATCACCCACTAGCAATTACTATTCTAGCCCATTTAAAATCCTATGCAAGCATGCCACATATTCACCCACTAGCAATTATTATTCTAGCCCATTTAAAACCCATGCAAGCATGACACATTATCTACAATATTACTTCCTCTGTTTCATAATATAAGTCATTCTAGCATTACCCACATTCATATAGATGTTAATGAATCTAGGTACACATATATGTCTAGATTCATTAACATCAATATGAATGTGGAAAATGCTAGAATGACTTACATTGTGAAACGGAGGAGTAGTATATTATAGAGATCAACAAGTATGTGTCAAATTATCTTCCTCACATTATTTTCTCAATATTTCAAGTTTCATCATTTCGATAATATTTAACATATACCCATCTATAAATCCCGCAGCAAAGCGCGAGGTATCACATAGTATAGTTGATGTTTGGGCCAAAACTGAACTAAACTCCATATTGGGGCGGCAGATTTAATTTGGGCCCAAGAAACTGCCTAGGCTTGGGTCCCTGGGAATGGGCTGGCCAGAGCAATATCAGAACAGAACAGGGTCACCTATATATTTGCGACAAATTTTCTCTTAAAAACTTGACATATATAATTATAGTACAATCATGATGTAATTACACTATAACTTGCATGTAACTTTCAAAAATCTCTCCGTAACATGCTATTTCGATGAAACGGAGGTTGTTGGAACAAATCCTCTTACATGTGTGCGCGTAGTGACCTTTTTCCTTCTTCACTTGCATAAATCTTGAAACTAATATAACGGTGGAAAATTATGTGCAAGTTATAGTGTAATTACACTACTTCCTCCGTTTCATATTATAAGACTTTCTAGCATTGCCCACATTCAAAAGGAGGGAGTACGATTGTAGTGTAATTATATATGTCAAATTTTTGGGAGAAAATTTGTCGATAAATATATAGCAAAATTGGAACAAAAATATGTTGAAACACAATATGTATACATGCAACACCTTTTTTTTATCCGACTAATTGGTATACCTCCATCTCAGAATAAGTTCACCTATATCAATTTCCATATACAAAAGTGAACTTACAGAGTAGACGAATAGACGTACACACGCGCGTTTACCATGCACCACTCGTGGACAAGTTTGGCACGGAAGTCAATGTTGTGAGAAAACTATTTCATACTTCATCAATCCCAAAATGCAACCATTTGTATGTTAAATACTAAGGTTAAGGGGGTCCCTCTCAGTCATCTTATTGGTTAAATTTTAAATTTTGAAAATTTCTCAGACTCATCTTCTAAGCATAGTATGGATTTCATTCCACTTTCCTATTTCTTTTCTTAACAACAACTTATCTCATCAAATACTACCTCCATTCTAAAATAATTGTAATTCTAGGTTGTTTGGCATATATTAAGATTTGAAAAGAAAAACTATGATATCCCTCGTTAAATGGTATATAGATAAAAGTGAGAGGGTGGTTGAGGGTAAAACAGAGAGAAATTTAAATGAGAAGTGATTGGTAAGACAATTAGTACTATATTGTGACAACTATTTTAAGACAAAATTGAATCCTAGAAATACAATTATTATGGGACATAGGTAGTATGTCGCATTTTCAAAGTCATTAATCGTCCCATACCCTATTTTCTTGAAGCGGATTGTGTGAGTGTTGTCAGATCTATGGTGGCGCAGACGGATAACAGGTCATCTTGGTGCCATGTTTTCAAGGAAGCAAAGGCGGCAATCACACTACTCCCGGCGTTTCGTACCGAGAAAATTAGAAGATAATGTAATAAAGTAGCTCCTGAATTAGCTCAATTAGCGATGCGTACTAAACATTGTGTTGTGTGGCGTATGCAAGCTCCTCCTTGTATCACAGAGCTGCTTGATCATGATTGTATCCAACCTCTTGAGTGATCAATAAAGCATTTTCTTCCTCGAAAAAAAAACTTCATTTATTCAGCCTTAAAAGATCCCACCACAGTAGGGGATCGGATGACCGATTCACCATCACCATTACTAGCTAGGTTTTTATATGTATATAGTAGAGAAACCAAGTCAATTTAAACTATAGATGGCCAAATGAGCCGCTCGGCCAGGCACGCCCGTGCCTAGGCCGAGGTCACTCGGGCCGGCACGGCCCGACTTATACATCGGGCCATGCCGTGCCGTGCCAGCCCACGGGTTGCACACACGGCCCAATAATACTCGGGTCGTGCCGGGCCGGCCCGAAGACATAACAGTCCATTATGCTTCTCCAAAGAATATGTCTATTTTTCCTCCCTCAACTTTTTGGGCTGTGTCTATATGGCTGGACAATAAGTCTATTTTGTATTCCTCTTCTCTTTGGGTCTTGTCTTATATGGTTGATTAAGTCTATTTTGGATCCCTCTACTATTTTTCTTCAATTGTGCTAGGCCGTGCCGGCCCACCGTGCCGAGGGAGTAGCTCAGGCACGGCACGGCTGTCGGGCCGGGCCGGCACGGGCACGACCCTAGTCAGGCCGTATTGTGCTTGGGCCGGGCCAAATTGCCGTGCCTTGGGCTGGGCCGTCGAGCCGTCGGGCCATATGGCCATCTATAATTTGAACTCATTTTTTTTTAAATGACGGTCAAGGCTCAGCCATACTTGGTCAAAATTAATCCATCTGGCTGCAAACTTTAACTATATTTTATACATGGTACACTTGTTTTATTGTATCATCCGTAAGCAATACAAGTAATAATTGTATAAAATCCATAGCTATGAGTTCCAACAATCTATATATATATATATATATATATATATATATATATATATATATATATATATATATATATATATATATATATCAATCAACGCTGGTAATTGATCTCATGGCATTCATTCTAATTGCATGCATTGATCGATCGATCGATCAGTTGCCGTACTTGGCCTTGTAATCCTGCCACAGCTGCTGCACGGTCTTCCCGGTGATCTGCACGAAGTAGTCGACATTGTACCCGTCCTTCAACTTGGCATTGATGTCGGCGACGAACCCTGGCTTGACGCTGTCGCAGTAGTCGAAGAACCTCGCCGTCACGGAGTAGCTGTCCTCCCAGCTGTTCCCTTGCCCCGGCTGCACCCAGCCGGCGGCGACGTAGCCGGCGCGCAGCCGCACGAAGTCGGCGATCCCCTCGTACACCCACGAGTGCGCCGCGTAGTCCTGCAGCCCCCACTGCCACACGTGCGTCGCCTCGTGGTACAGCACGCCGGTCACCTCCGTCCTCACGTCGCCGGAGCTGGAGCTGTAGCCGCCGACGTACCGCGCGCTCAGGTGGATGCCGTCGCCGCTGGTGAACGCCACGCCGTCGATGTCCTCCACGGTCAGGGTCACCGCGTCCACCGGCTTCCGGTCGCCGCCGTCGCCGGGCTGCTCGAAGGCGTCCCAGATGAAGGACGACGCGTCGGCGAGCACCTGCTTCGCGTAGTCCACGCCGACCTCCCGGTCGAACCGCTGCCCGCCGGCGGTGCTCGACGCCGTGTTCGTCGCATCGAACGTCACGGCGCCAGCGGCCGTCGCGGCCGCGGCCGCGGCGGCCATGAGCGCCGCGAGAGTGGCCATGTGGAAAGGCTTCATTTTTCTTTTTATGATCTTGTATTATCGATGTTTGTTACGGAATTTTGCTAACCATGGTAGGGTTTATATAGGTTAGAGAAAAATGTGTTTTCGAAATTCGAGGATAAGTTTGATTAGCTAGGTGATTGTTTTTTTAAGTCTATAGTCAAATCGATTGACTTGGAATTAGTCAAAATTGGTTATATTTCTTCTGAAATTTGATGGAAGGAAGCTGGCCCGTGAAGATTTGATATGGACATCTAATATTTTATTTTTGTTTTTATTCCAATCAAACCAGGAGTTGTTTATTAGTCTCAGATAAAAGAAGTGCAGTGACGGCAAAGGAAACGCCTGAAAATAATCTGGCTTTTAGTATCATGACTTCTAACTCTTCTGGATGCATCAATTAATGTATGTTTGCAGATCCGCTAGCAATTTCACTATGGGTGTGTTTAGTTGGGAAAAAGAAAATTTTTGGGTGTCATATCAGAAGTTTGACCGGATGTCGGAAGGGGTTTTCGGACACGAATGAAAAAACTAATTTCAGAACTCGCCGGGAAACCGCGAGACGAATCTTTTGAGCCTAATTAAGCCGTCATTAGCACATGTGGGTTACTATAGCACTTATGGCTAATCATGGACTAATTAGGCTCAAAAGATTCGTCTCGCTATTTCCCCATAACTGTACAATTAGTTTTTTCTTTTTATTTATATTTAATACTCTATGCATGTGTCTAAAGATTTGATGTGATGTTTTTTGGAAAAAATTTTGGAAACTAAACGGGCCCTCTCTTCTCTATCTGAACATAATATAAATATGCGTGTCCTAATTAATATCAAGCATATACATCTGAAATTATTTTTGCCATTGCGTGTCGGCATTACATTTCGTGTTGGAGACGGTGCAGCTTGACTTAATTTGCCAAGAGATTAATTTCCATGTTGCCAATAATTAGATACAATTCAGATCCTCTTCAGTACTACGCATGCAGCACTGCAGACTAACATGTAGGCCCGAGGATTTGTGGGGCCCACATGTTAGTGAGCAGTACTGCAGAGAACCTCAGTGGAGATGGGACATGTGTGACCAGCCAATTTCCACCAATAATATTTCAAATCTTTCCTGTTGCAAAAATGAATATGTACTCTAAAATGAGAAGTTTTTTTAGGACAAACTTTAAATCCTAAAATGGCATCGAGGAAGTAGTAGCATTTAGGAGTAACCATTTATGGAGTCATGATAGATTGACAGGACAGTACTTGAAGCTTTGACAGTGAGCACAAATTGATTACAGATGGAGTATAACAAGATCAGGCAGTAGTATTTCGTTGAATTTTCAGTAAAGTTTCAGGCCTGCTTAGATTATAGTTAAAATAAATATTATTAAATTTTATTAATGCTAAAATTTTAGCAATTTAACAATATTGTTAAGTTTTGACAGGATTTCTTATGTATTTATCAGAGTTTAATAATGAACTAAATGGATGCATATATTTAACAACTTTACCTAAATTTGGTAAGATTTATTTTAGCTACAATCTAAACAGTCCCTCGGACATCAAACATGGCTTTATTTATTGCCTTATTATCCACATATCTGATACTAACTACAGTACTACTATAGTACTATATATATATATGGCCACCTCGCCGGAGCTGACGTCACGTCAGCTAGCCGCCGTACTTGGCCTTGTAATCTTGCCAGAGCTGGTCGATGGTCTTGCCGGAGATCTGGACGAAGAAGTCGTCGCTGTATCCGTCCTTCATCTTGCCGTTGAGCTGCGCCACGAACCCCTGCACCACCGCCGGCGAGTCGCAGTAGTCGAGGAACCTCGCCGTCACGTCGTACCCCTGGTCCCACCGGTCGCCCTGCCCGGGCTGCACCCAGTGCGGCGGCGCGTAGCCGGCGCGCAGTCGGACGAAGTCGGCGATCCCCTCGATCAGCCCGCCGTCGGCGCCGCCGCGGCCGTCCCACTGCCACACGTGCGTCGCCTCGTGGTACAGCACGCCGGTCACCTCCGCCCTCACGTCGCCGGCGGCGCTGTAGCCGCCGACGTACCGAGCGCTCAGGTGGATGCCGTCGCCGCTGGTGAACGCCACGCCGTCGATGTCCTCCACGGTCAGGGTCACCGCGTCCACCGGCTTCCGGTCGCCGCCGTCGCCGGGCTGCTCGAAGGTGTCCCAGATGAAGGACGACGCGTCGGCGAGCATCTGCTTCGCGTAGTCCACGCCGACCTCCCGGTCGACCGCTGCCCGCCGGCGGTGTTCGACGCCGTGTTCGTCGCGTCGAACGTCACGGCGCCGGCCGTCGCGGCCACGGCGGCCATGAGCGCCGCGAGAGCGGCCACGTGAGAAGGCTTCATTTTTTTAAAAAAAAAATAAAAATCTTATGGATGCACTTGCAAATTCGATAACAATGGCAGGGTTTATATAGGTTAGAGAAATGTGTTTTCGAGGATAAGTGTGATCAGCTAGCTGATGATTTTTAATCTATAGTCAAATCAATTGACTTGGAATTAGTCCAGATTGGTTATGTTTCTTCTCAAATCTGATGGAAGGAAGCTGGCCCGTGAAGATTTGATGTGGACATACGTGTCATACCTAATATTTATTTATTTATTCCAATCAAACCAGAAGTTGTTTACAGTATTAGTCTTGGATAAAACAAGTGCAGCGACGGCAAGGAAACGCTGGAAATAATCCAAGCTTAATCTGACTTATAGTAGTGTCATGACTTCTAACTCTTCTGGATGCATCATTTAATGTATGTTTGCAGATCTGCTCGCAATTTCACTTTCTTCTCTACGACTGAATAGACCCTATCTGAACATAAAACATACGTGTCCCAACTCCCAAGTCCTAATATAAACCATATCTGAAATCATTTTCTAGCATTTGCGTGTCAACATTACATTTCGTGTTGCAGACGGTGCATCTTGACTTAATTTGCCAGGAGATTAATTTCACCAGATGACCCAATATAATCTTGGAGATGGGGGCATGTACGAGATCTTTGCTGTTTCATAAATGTTGATCTCTGTTTGGTGTCCTGCAGCGTACGAAATTCAGATAGACCGGCCTACCACAAGCTAGAAACATCTGGAGAAGCAGCTAGCTGAATTATATCTTTTCTGAACTTGTGACGGCTGGGAGATTCAGAGTTTCGTTTGATGGTGGCACTGACAAAACCTGAATTCTGGTTAATTACAGGTAACGCCTAAACCAGAATCGCTGGCTCACCACCTGTACACATTTGTGCAGCATATGGTCTAAACTCTGAAGATAATGGAGCGATTTGTTTGATTTGCAAGCCGGCAGGCAGCTGATCGGAATCAGACGATACAGACAAGGCAGTCTGCAGTCCGACCAACCAGTTTAGCTGGAGCAGTTCGGCGTTTTGCAGAAGCTGCAGGAGAAATTCGAGACCTTGGATGTCTCAATCCGAACTCACTGTTGAAAACCATTTTCTAAATTTTGCCACAAATCACGGATTAAATCTACGTACGTGGCGTGCAAATCCTGTGCAGAAAAAACGGTGTTCCCTGTTCAGTTGCATACCGGCGACTGAGCAGACTCGCTCCTGATTGGGGGAAAAAAATAATAATAATCTGCAGCCAGCTGCAGTGCACTCGCAGTCGATTTTCCGACCGAAACCGTACGTGGCGTTCACTTCACCGTGGGATCGAATCATCCAAAAACATCAATTCGATATTTCGAGAGAAAGCCTGGAAAATTTAGGTTGACAGCTCTGCTGCCCAGAGAAAAACTCGTAACGAACTCTGCTGAAATCCAAAAGCGGAAGTCCAAGTCAAGAAATTTATCATTTAGTACACCAAATAGGTCAGGCTGCTTTCTTTCTCTCTTTTTTCCCTTTTTTTTGTGAGAATAGGTCAGGATGCTTTGACTAATTGGCTTGGTGATACCGAGTACTGCTCCCTTCGTTGTAAATTGTAAGAAATATATTTTTTATATAATTTTTAATGATATATTTTAACCATTAACGTATTCCATATTATGTTTTTAATAAAATATAAAATTAGCATCACACGAAAGTACTTTTAAATATGAATCTAGTCATATAACTTGTATAATAATTAGCATATATATGGTTAGTTTGATTATTAGAGCTTTTCTTAGAAAAGAGGTCGTCGTTTAATTTGGAACGAGGGAGTACTAACAAATACGTATACGTACTTAGCATTGCTGATGTTCTTTTCGAAGAAATTCAGACATCCCGATGTTGGCTATAAATACTTCCTCTCACCAATTGCCCACATAACTCACCAAGACCACCAGACATGAAGCTTCACGTCGTGGCAGCCATCCTGCTGGCCGTGGCCGCGTCGTCGTCGCCGCCGCCCGCCGCCGCCGTCACCTACGAGGTGAGCAACGAGGCGGCGAGCACCGCCGGCGGCCAGCGGTTCGACCGGGAGTACGGCGCCGGGTACGCCAAGCAGGTGCTCGCCGCCGCCTCCTCCTTCACCTGGAGCATCTTCAGCCAGCCGAGCGCCGCCGACCGGAGGCCCGTCGACGCCGTCGTCCTCGCCGTCCGCGACGTCGACGGCATCGCCTCCACCAGCGGCAACACCATCACGCTCGGCGCCGGCTACGTCGCCGGCGTCACCGGCAACGACTTCAAGACGCAGGTAATTAATAGACTCCGGCTCATCCATGTTGACTGACTAAAATTTTGACCATCCAAACTATACACCTAGACTGTGTTTAGACTGTGTTTAGTTTACGTCAAAATTAAAAGTTTGGTTAAAATTAGAACGATGTGATGAAAAAGTTTAAAGTTTATGTGTGTAGAAAAGTTTTAATGTGATGGAAAAATTGGAAGTTTGAAGAAAAACTTCGGATCTAAACATGGTGACAATCAACGATAATATTTACGGTGTTCCTACTAAGACTTCGTTCGGCAATGGCTAAATTAAAGAGAGTAAAACTATTTCGTTTTCTGCACGCACGTCCCAAACATTGTGTTTATTTTTAAAAAGTTCTAGAAAAGTTATTTTTAAAAATATATCAATTCGTTTTTTAATTTAAAATAATTAATGCTTAATTAAATCATACACTAATTGCTCATCTTGTTTTATATATCTTCTCAATTTTTCTCTTTCCCATCATCTTAAACACACCCACTTTAATAAATGTGACCATAGATGACTAGAATTCCAACCCCGATCGATGTCCCCAAACAAAATTAAATCTAATCAACCACAACTTTTACGACAATCTCTAGTTTTTCCAAATAATCAAGTTATTTTTTCTCATAGGTGACCGGAGTGTTGTACCATGAGGTGGTGCACGTGTGGCAGTGGGGGCTGCAGGATTACGGGGCGCATTCGTGGGTGTACGAGGGGATCGCCGACTTTGTGCGGCTGCGCGCCGGCTACCCAGCGGCTGGTTGGGTGCAGCCGGGGCAAGGGAACAGCTGGGAGGACAGCTACTCCGTGACGGCGAGGTTCTTCGACTACTGCGACAGCGTCAAGCCAGGGTTCGTTGCCGACCTGAACGCTAAGCTGAAGAATGGGTACAACGTCGACTACTTCGTGCAGATCACCGGGAAGACCGTGCAGCAGCTGTGGCAGGATTACAAGGCCAAGTATGGAAACTGATGATCGATCGACGCAGAGAATGAATAAGACAAGAGATTACCATCATTGATTGATATAGATTGTTGTAACTCATAGCTATGGAGTTTACACAATTATTGTATTGCTTACGGATGATAGAATAAAGGGACGCTGTCTAGTTTTCAATCACATGAAAAATACTTGCAAATTTTAGTCCTTTTTCAACGGTCTAGATTGCCTCAAGATTTATGCGCTACAGTAATCATAACTAATCTTTTTCTCTTCCTCTCCCTCTCTCCTCACTGACTGGCACAAGCGTCAGATCGAAAATGCCCTGTCGTCGAGAGCCACCTGTCTTCCCCGCCCTAGCACGTCTCTTTTCCTTCCCTCTCTTCCTCCCGGCTCCCTAAGGCCTCCTTTGGCAGCCCGGGATCCCGGTGGGATCCCCGCCCATTCCCCTGGGAGAAAGGCCCGCGGTGAAAATTTTCACGGGCTTATTTCCTGTCCATTTGGAAGCCCACGAGGCAGGGATTTCCCAGCCCAATCCGCGGGGAAGCCCTAGGGAAAGGACCCCGACCTCCGGAGATCGGGAATTTTTCCTCGCGCGATCCGCCGCCGCTTCTCTCTCGCGCGGAGTCTCTTCTCTCGCGCGCAACCAATGTTGGGCGCCGCCGCGCCTCCTCCTCCGGCGAGACGCGCCACCGCCGGGACTCCTCCGGCGAGACACCACCAGCACTGCCACCGTACTAGGGTAAGCCTTCTTCTCTTTCCCCTCCTCTCCTCCTCCTCCTAGGGTTTCTGCTCTTCTCCTCTAGGGTTTCCCCTCAGATCTTTGGCTCAGTGGCTCAATCCTCTCTTCTCATCTTCCCCCAACAGCTTCTCTAGAACAGCCACCGTCAATCTTGCTCCCACCTGAAGCAACACGACGCGCTCTCTCCAGTGGCAGTGCGCCAGTGCCCCATCCCCCAGGTCAACCTCGATAGCCACCAAGAGCGGTTCTCCAGTGGCCGTCACTAAGCATCGCCAGCACCGTGACTCAGTTCGACTGGTTCGTGTCCTTTATCCCAAATCTGTGCTGTGATTGTTTATGGTTCAGTTTGGTTTGACTGGAAATTTAATTTTTGCATCTTGTGAATGTGGAACTAATGAGAGAAACCACGGTTTGTGTGAATGATCTTTGCAAAGACTTGTTAAGTTCTTGTTTTTTGGTAGACATGTTCAGGCTCAGAAAAGAGTTGATCTAACGAACCGCAGGAGAAACCAATGCTTTGCTTTCTTCTGGAGTGTGAAATTTGCATGCAAAAACTGATTAGTAATGTCTTTGCACAGGAAATTTGGGACCATCAGTAGAGCCCAGGTCTCATCATTGCAAGTTTTAACAGACAACATATTATTCTTATTTTGGGAATCTATCCATCACTAGTACATGTCCAAAAGAGGATAGCATTAGTCAGTGCTTAGAGCTTACAGTCAAGATGGACAGTAGGTTATCGTGCATGTGTGATGACAATTTACAATTGTGCAGGTTCATATGCTTTAACACATAAGCTACGTGGTAAATTAAACAACATTGATTAAGAAGGGAACACACGCGTTCACTGCTTCGACAGATCAACTACAAGAATTGTCAAGTATGCCTCCTTGTACTTCCTCTCTTGCCATAATTTAATTTAAATTTAATACGCAATTTGCAAAGGGTTATTGTACTTTAGCATGCACTGGTATGTAAACCTCAACTTCTTCACTCAAGATTACTATTTAGTTTTTTTTCTCTGCTCCGTTTGGTTTCCCTTTTCTCATCTCTAGCTCTAGTTTTACCATGATTCTGTGAAATGAATATTTTTAGATCTAACAGAGAATCTTTTTTTACTGGACAGAGAATCATTTTTGCTGGAGTTATTAGGAACATTTTATGTTTAGCAATAGTATATGTTCTGATATCTTCATGAAATTCATTATTAAACTGACAACAACCCTTCAAAGCTGAACACTATATCGCTCATCCATTAGACCAGCTAATGCTACTACTATTTTTTTTTCTGAGGAGCCAAATTGCTGCATAGGTATGTCTGATGGCCCTACAATTTAACTTGAAAGCTCTGCTATTTGTATACTTGATTCAATTTCAGCAGATGTAAATTTTACAACTCTTTGTATTCAGTTAATCTGGTTTAATTCTTCTCTATTCTTGATGGTCCTAGCTTAGCTTAATTCTGATTAATTATTGTAGTCTCTGTCAGGGAACCGTATAATTAGTGATTAATTTAGCATGCATGTGAGACTAAATAAATGGTAAAAAACAGATTTTTGATAGGACCTCGCTGGCCAAACAAAGTGACCTAGTAGTACTAATTAATTAAAACAACAACTACTACTACTAATTAGTACTGCTAAGTGCTAACCATAACTATCTACACTAATGACAGTGTTTGTGTGCTTGCTTGGGGGCATAAAACTAAGAGACAGAGTTAGCTGGAGATGGCCACGGTCCGTCTGAAGCATTGCGCATTAATTTGCATCTCAAACTGTAGTAGCATGAGGCTTTAATCTGTCTAATCAGTTTGCACCTAAACAGCAGCTCAATGGCACTGCAGTTCAGCTGAAAATGTTGCAAAAGTTTACCTAATGAGGACTCACATAGGGGGTATATATATGAGATGCACTTCTTTTCCTTGTCATGTCCATAATGATAATTGTCCTCTTGCACTCTTCCTCTTGCCATGATTCAATTTGAATCTCTGGATTGGCATAAACAAGGATTGTCCCACACAGAGCTATACTCTAGTCTGCATTTTCTATACAAGAAGTACTTGAATGATTTTTTTTCTACCAACGCTACAGGTTGCACCCTTACTTGTGTTTTTAATTCTTGGATGTAGGCAACAGGCCTTGCCCTTGTATATTCAGCCTTGTTCTCAATTTGGAGCAGCGATGGAGATAGTTGATGCTTATGAATGCAGGAGGAAAACACATCCAAGATATTTGTAAATGATAATTGTATGATTATATCTTGTATTTGCTGAAAGTGATATTTCTTGGATGCTCATATAATACTTGGCTAAATACTGTAGATGGTAGCTCAATTTGATCATCTCATGAATTAAGTTGATGCTTGTATCTATAATGTTCTCTATTTTACCTAGAATTTATTGCTCTAATTGGAGTTCATATGATTTTTCAGATTTTTTTTCTTGCATTTTTAACTTAATTATTCTATTTTTGTGCTCAGTTATGTTTATTTAGACATTTTTTTTATCTTGTTGTGTGTGCTCCAACTAGCCATTATTTGGTAGAGTAGGCTCAAAAATTAAAAACCCTAATCATCCCCCAGTCCCGTGAGCTGCTTCCAAATGGTAGCAGGGAAATCTCCCCTAGCGGGAAGTGCTTCCCTAGATATTTTGGGGGGATTCACTTGGTACAGGGAAAATCCCTGTATGGGGTTTTTTCCCAGGGGTTTTCTCCCCGTGCATCCAAAGGCAGCCCGGGATCCCACCGGGATCCCAGCCCATTCCCTGGGAGAAAGGCCCGTGGGGGAAATTGTCACGGGTTTTATTCCATGTCCATTTGGAAGCCTGTGGATTTCCTGGCCCAATCCGCGGGGAAACCCTAGGGAAAGGTCCCCGACCTCCGGAGGTCGGGAATTTTTCCTCTCTCGATCCGCCGCTGCTTCTCGCTCGCACAACCGGAGTCGCTTCTCTCTCGCGCGAACAATAGCGGGTGCCGCCGCGCCTCCTTCTCCGGCGAGACGCGCCACCGCCGGGACTCCTCCTCCGGCGAGAAGGATAAGCCCTTCTCCTCATTCCCCTCCTCTCCTCCTCCTAGGGTTTCCGTTCTCCTCCTCCTCTAGGGTTTCCGCTTCCTCTAGTTAGCTCCCAATCTCGCTCTCTGGTCTCAGCGCTTGCATCGCAGGCACCGACGCGTGGCACCACGGCAGCCGGGGCAACGACGACGAGGCGACGCGCCGGCAGCGCGGGCACACGGCTCCAAGCAGGCGGGGACAGGGGGGGATCCAAGGCGGCGTGACTCACCGGCAGAGGAGGCGCTGAGGCGCAGATCCGCCTCCTCCTCCTCGCTGCGCGACACCCACCGGCGGTTGCCCGGCTAGGTTTGTGCATGCCCTTGTAGCTGCTGCTTGATTCTTGGGGGTTCGTTCAGTACTTCAGTTTTCTTGGTGTATGTATGGTATGTTTCTTGATTTGGTTTGGGAGAGTTGTAATCTGTTCTCCTGTTCTTTCTAATACATTGTAGTATTGTACCCTGCAGTAGCATTTCATTTTGTTATGGAAGCGATTCAGAAGGGGATATGGGTGGGCGTATGGTGCTCTTGTTTTAGATCATGAATGAGTTTTGGTAAGATGATGTTCTAATTTGATGGAGTAGGTTGTGCTCTGGTTTTTTCTGCAGTGTAATTATCATGCTTAGTGCAGTCTAAATATGTGAGATCAATGCACCAGTCCCAAGAAATGAGGAATTATCACACATGCAGTGAGGATCATTCAACTGGTGAGGTATATGAGAAATTTTAGTCTGCAAACCAGTAACAGTTTTTTGCAGTTAATTAGAGATGCAGTTCTTTTAGTTGGATGCTGTCAGCTCTGTTAACCTAGAGGTAGATCTTAGTACTGGTTGAGCTGCTAGCATCAAGTTTTTTTTTCTGGAGGCATTTTTTAGTCTAATCCATTCTTGTAGTCTCTGTCAGGGAACTGTAGAATTAGTGGTCAATTTAGCATGCATGTTGGGACTAAATAAATGGTAACAATCATATTTTTGATAGGAACTCATACTTACTACAAAAATGAAGTCTTTTATGCTCTATACTTATACATTAGTCTAAACTTTAGTTTCATGTCATGTATCACCAGCAGAAAATGAGCAAGGTGGCATTGTGCATTCAAAAAACACAAGCTTTGGCAGCAACCTATATACAAAGACACGCACACACAGGTATTTCAATCTCCTCTCTCTCACTCACTGCACAATACACTGGCCAAACAAAGTGACCTAGTAGTACTGATTAATTAAAACAACAACAACTACTACTACTTTTTTTTCCTTATCATGTCCATAATGATAATTCATAATTGTGCTCTTGCATTCTTCCTCTTGCCAGGATTCAAAGGATTCAATTTGAATTGCATGCTCAACTTACTTTCAAATATGGACTTGAAATAGAGTATTGTTGGAAAACTATCAATACAAAAACATGGACTTCAAATTGTTTGATTTAAAAAT